ATTTAGTCATGATTTCTGGCAGTAAAATTGTGACTGTTAGTGAGCTCTCTGTCTATCTTAACTCCTTATTACAGGGTGACCCCAAAAAAGTTGTGCAAGCAGACATCTTTAAATTTCTCAAAAAGTATCTATCATCAGCATTTCATGTAGATGGAGTAAACTGTTTGTACTCTTGTGTGTAATCACAGCGAAAATTTGATGAAAATCCATTCATGCAAACCACAGATCCAACAGATTATAAAGGCAATGTTTTTTCACCCGTACCAATGTAATTTACACAGTTAAAGAAAAGACCCATTGCAGAGTGCCAGTTGAATGATTTCCAATGCAATGTCTAATTCCCATTGGAATGGTTGAAAAACATATATCCTTTTATGATCTGTTACAGCTGTGGTTTGCATGGATGGGTTTCCATGACATTTTCAATGATTATACACAAGAGATTCATAATATGTTCTATCAAAATGAAATACTCATTTTAGGTACTCTTTGTAAATTTTAACGATATCTGCTTGCACAATTATTTTTGGTCACCCTGTATTAAGACTTCAGCCACCCACACCTAAAATAGGATGGCACTAAATCTCAAACAACAAAGTTCTCACTTTTTCTTAACTTTTTACAATCCAAACCTACAGCGGGATTAGCTTGCTGCAATTTTAAACATGACCAATGCCACATCCAGCTCCCTGTATTTTATGTCTAGTTACAGTTAAGCCCATACTTCTACTGTCGCTGACAATGACCTAGCTTCAAATTGTTGGTGACTTAGGGGGTCATTCTATGAAGTAAGGGTTAACAGTGAGACATTTTACCTGTCCCTGTTACCTCTAAATGTTGTAATTGCCATTTAAGTATCATTAAAAATTTCTTCAAACTATATTCTAATTGAGGGATAGGTATGTATGCAGTTTGCTCTACATTCATTCACTCTCTAAGGCAAACAAAAAAAAAGTTCTGCTTCCGATTACATGGCATCTGAAAATAGGTAGGTAGGTAGGTAGGGAATTTTTGGGGGGCAATTCTTTTTGCGTATGATCATATGGAGGTGTCTGCGTGTAGTAAAGTGTAAAAGGTAGTAATTGATGATTTCCGGGTATTTTTCCTTATTTTTCCCAATACAATTAGGGTAGGGGCTGTCAAAATAGGGTAGGTACCGGTAGGCTAAGAAAGGAAGCACGAAGAGTGCATCCCAAATTACAAAATCATACATGTAATTATGTAAAGCCTGGTGTCAATATCGAAGTTAAGCTAGCTTACTGTACGCAGACTGCACAGACAGATTCAACTTTGCCAACCGTCTGTGAGATAGTTTGCGTCTGTCTGGGTTGCAGTTTGGGTCCTGTTTGCGTTTCACTTTGCATTTTGTACGTCGATATGGAAACTAGGCTTAAACAAGGACAGGATAAAAAATCAAAAACATAGAATGTCTCCTATATATCTGCAGTGCAATTCTATACCTTGGGAATACGAGTTGCTTGATTTGAGAAATGCCTATGAAATGATATGGAGCTTTGCATAATGGAATACATATCTCTTAGTATCAATATCAGCTTGACACCACAACAATGCCATTGAATTAAGCCATGGGCCCAACTTCCTGGAGCTTCCTAAGCAGAGAATATTGCTTGGCAAGTTAATGTGCTTAGCAAGAATCAGCTGGGTACCAGTTACTGGCTGCAGACACATCATGACTTTTCAACTGGTTACCTGTTTTTGCTAAGCGGATATTTTTTGAGCTTAGCAGAATTCTAAATAGGCCCCTGCTGGGCACACCAGATAGAGGAATGTTGAGAAGACCTGGTTGTGAATGTGGGAAATGCTGGATCTCCTTACAGATTTTGGCCTGTTCTGGTGAAACCTCGCACCTCTGGCTATTTTTTATTACCTCTGACTGGCTTGGACCATATTCCAAGTTTGGGCATAATTGAATTTAGGAATTATATCAGATTTCTATGTAAAAACAACAACAGGCAAAAGCAGCCAAATTCGTCCATGAGAAAAGTTTAAAGGCACATATGTCTAATCCAATGACAATTAGCACGTTCGCTATTAGTTTGTCAAATTTCATACAATTCTTTTCAATATGCATCATGAGAAACCTATTTCTTTGAAAGATTTACTGACATTTTACTTACTTGAAAGTTTTACCAACAACTCCATTTGACTTGTTAAGACCAATTTTGCCAGATAGAGCAGGTCACTGTTATTACAAGAGGGGACTGCCCCCATACCAATGTGGACACCTACTGTGAAAATCCTATCCTTGTTTTCCCACTTTTTGCTATAGCAAAACTGCGAGTGAATGTGTTGGCTTAACTGGGAGTTCAAGGGACGCACACTCAATGATCAAGTTACAAATATACCCTACAAATTTACTCACAGGAGACTTGCAAAATGTGTAAACCGTGAAAACCGCATAGTGAATACAATCTCATTGAGCTAGATCTGACTTGGTACTCAAAAACTAGAAAATTTGAACAACTGGTGATTTTGGCTTTATATAATGACTTCAATAACAATTCTGGGAATATATATTTTTTTGTAACCTATACCCATTTAAGTACTGATCAACTGCTCCCCAAATCAAAACAAATATTGGGATGAGGGAAACAATCGAAATAGAAAAATACCAAACTCACTTCAGTAAGTACTGCTCATGAATAAAACTTAGCTGCTCACATGTACATGTATATGTAGCATAAAAACGTTTGCGATGCAGAAAGTAAATCACTGTACACCTAGACAAATACAACAAAGTATTGAAAAGCTGTTTAGTTCCAACTGAAACCCTCATTTTTTTGAATCCCAAAAAATCAGAGAGCAGGTAACTTTTGCAACACACTATTAAACTACAAGTAGGATAACTGGTTCTGGTTCTTGAGTTCTGTTGAACCGAGGGGCTTTTGGATACTGATGGAGTTAGTTCAAAATCACAGGGAAGATTGGGTACGAGTAGATTATCAAAAAATAGAATAGTCATGCACGCTCACACGGATGTTCGTAAGTGAGATTCGATCAAGACGTTGTAGACAGGCCCGTCGCCAGCTCTGGGCATTATGGGGGGGGGGGGGGGGGGGCACAGTGCAGACTAGGGGGGCACACCATAAGAAAAAACACACTAATATATAACATTTACGCTTATGGTTTTTGCAGATGGGGGGGGGGGGGGGCAGTTGCTTGTCGGGGGGCCCCGGCCCCCCTTGGCGACCGGCCTGCGATGCAATAGGTTTTAAAAATTGGAAGACATTACTAAGAATCAGAGGTTGATGAGTTTTGTTTGTAAACTGACAATTTTTTTTTTGTCATTAGTAATAATGCAGGCTGACTTACTTGCACATGCAGGGTATTGTTTGGAGGGGATGCATTATGAGGTACCCCTTATGAGCCTCTTACACTGCATACGAATTCTGTGTTGGCCCTGGGTCCAACACAGAGATTTTGGGAACACCTGTCACACAAGCTACAATCCCGGCCAAAATGGTTGGGACACTTGGAAATAACCTTAGCCTGCCACGGTCACCCACTCCCCCGCCCCCCCAGTCAATGTTGTTCTCTTCAGGGGATGGAGCACACACCGCGCAATAAGAGACAACATTGACAGGGGCCCAGGGGGTTGGGGGCCCAGCGAGATTTGGCCAGGATTGTAGAACACAGCACGGCTTCTACATAGGTTCGGCATCCACACGGGTATATAATCCAACCCTGGCTAGGACCAGGGTTGAGAGGTACTACCCAGGTAGAAAATCTCAAATCTCCAGCCGACCCATGTACACACCAGAGTTAAGCGTGAAAAGTAAGCCTCACCTACCTGTGCTTGATGGGAACTGGTTCCACTTATGGCGGACCCACCCTGATTGCAACACAGGTAGGGGAGATGATAGTGTAAAAAGGCCTTAAAGATATAGTCCATCATTTGTAATTTGTGCATTTTGTTCGTTTGAAGCACAGAAAGTGCTCAAAATCTAAAGAAGGGTACTGAACAACTAACCTGATGAAGTTTCAGCTCAGCTTCAGCAGTATATTCCGAGAAAAACAGCATTCTAGGATCTCAAATTCAAATCAAAAGTTGCTGAATCATGTTTTGAATTGGGCCTGAATTCAGCGTCCGAGACACGTTCTCACTGAGCCGATTGCAGCTACGCGATGTCGCGCACTGATCCGACGAATTATAGCAACTGCGCGCGCGTGTGAATGTGCCAATGCTTCGCCGAATAACAAAACGAACTACTAATTTCAATTTCCTACGGTGCGTCTTAAGAAGCACCGTTGGAAAGGTCTTCTTTCGTTGATTACTTCAAAATGACAGCTTGCCAGAAAGACTAATTTCACTGGGAGTTTAGTCCCCTTACTATCTTTCAACCAAGTTTGTTTTTCAACAATATTTACGCCAGTTACTTTTCGGATAGCTGCAAATGATGGACTATATTTAAGATTTCTTGTATCGTTGCTTGTGAAGAAAGATCCATCATGAAATTGTGCACTTTACCACAGTGACTGCTATAGTGCTAAAGAGGCGGGAAATGATGCCATCTATGGTATCTTCTCTGCACAGCGTAGGCAGCTGGGCCCAATAGTCACATCCATTAGGCCACGCCCACTGCGCGCATGGGCAACAACGTATGTGCCTCCCCAGTGCTGCACTGCATGTTCAGGCCACTCAGGTCATATGCACATGCACACATGTTGGACTTTTGTGCAAGCATCTTGGACTTTTCTGCAAGCATGTCCAACGTCAACTCTCCTGCTGTTTAAACAGTCACAGACAGTCAAAATGTCCATCCTCTTCCCCTGCTATACTTTTAACAAAGGATAGTCACCAGCAGTCAGATCATGTGTCAAGCAAGCACTGTGACTACTCAAACTCAGTCAACAAATCATGAATTGACAAAGCAGGCAAGTTGTGGGCACAGCTGGCTTATCAATTTACCCACAGCCAAAGCAAAGCTGTATGGATTTACATAAACAGTCACGGCCAGTCAATCTTGCTGTATGTAGGCTGGGAATTCTTCACTGTTGAAAGCAGTCACTTGATTGATTTTGACTGAAAGGACTACTTGGCACACAATGTATGTTTGCATAGGAGGGTTAATCACGGCTGTCATTGGTCAAAACATCAGTGGGCGGGACTTAAAGGATTGGTCTATGTCATGGAGTTACTTACATGTTCTGTTGGTCGCCAGTTGGTGAACTACATTACACACAAAGGTACAATGGCATTCTTTGCTAACTTCATTCCTTACTTGGTGGGTACTGGGTAGGCACAATTTTTGGTTTGGCAGCTGTGCAAAATGTTGGCTCTCAGTAGTAATCCAAGTTTCTTGGGTCTACCTCCAGTGGCGGCACTTTGGTCACTGTGTCAACGAACTTGAGCAGGTCTTCCAGACGCTCCACCAGGTCGTCCGCGTCCAGCTTGTCCTTCTGTAGGTCCGTCAGGAGGGCTGAGGCTTTGGCAAGGTACTCCACGGGGATGCCTGTGCCTAGCATGGGCTCCAGGAAGTGGTGTCGTGCATGGAGGAGGTTGGTCTTAGCGTTGGTGCCGGGACACTCCATGTTCTTGGCACATCTTAAACCTAAATGGAAAATGCAAGGGCAAACAAGCAATAGAAGAATCAACCTTGACATTTTTGAGGGGGTGGGGGAATTTCACTAAATTTTTCAAATTCTTTGAGAAAATTAGCTCCATAAAAACAGGACAATTTGAACTTCCTGCCAACTTAAAAATGGGTATCAGAACAGGTCTGCCATCGTAATTTACAAACACAGTAATACATTATAGATCCCTGGAGATGGATCATACTTCACTTGTAACAACCCATCCAGCCATTCGTACTGAGCGCTTAGTAGTCTGAAGATCAGGGGCCAATTTCACGGCGCTGCTAAGCACACAAATTTGCTTAGCACCAAAAAAGTCTGGCTTATAAAAGCAGTTTACCAGCCAAAACTCCAGGTGATTTTCATGCTGTAACAAACAACAGCTCAATACTAATCACGAGCAATATACACCACATGGAGTTTTGGCTGGTAACCTGCTTTTATAAGTCAGACTTCTTTTGTGCTAAGCAAATATTTGTGCTTAGCAGCGCCGTGAAATTGGGCCCTGATGTTCTCGGGTGCAGAGACACACTACAAACGGCTGATGTAAAGGTACATGTACATTTTATGCGACCCCACCAGCCAATCAGAGCCGAAATTTGGCCAAAGCTTTTGATTGGTCAAAAGCTGTCATGCTTTTGTCATACAACATCAGGTTACCGAAGACATGATAGAAGGCGCCCGCTGAATGGTTAGAATCTGGAGGTCAAGACGCAGTGATGTTTTGCATAATCTGCACGCATATCAGAGACACTTTCCGTGCAAGCGCCTTTTCCGTAGACTACATAGTGAGTGGTTTTTGCTGGTTTTTGCACCTTGGCTGGTGTGTGATCCTGTGGCTATGCAAATGCCCCTCATTATGTTATCCCGTCAACGGTAAATTATTTGACTTACCAGAAGGCATATCATTGATAAGGCACTTCATTTCTTTATTGCAAGACGGCTCTTTGCTGTTCAGTCCGTCCACGTCGGCAATTTTCAACGTTCCAGCGACGAAGACAAACTGTTCGTCCCTCCAATCAGTGATGGCGACGCTGCCCATAGGAGAGTCAACAAGGTACTGGAGAAGTCTGGCTAGATCGAGACAAATCTAATGTACATTGGATGAGGGGGAAATTCATATTAGTTTATTGAATCTGTGCAGTTTCATATCAGTTTTTTTTTAATCTCAGCAAATTGAGTTCAGAACGGCACCGTCCTTCGGCTCAACAGGGTCTGCCGTGCTATCGTCGTTCCAAGCGGCAGTGGCATGGCACTGTTCTAAATGTCGTGCCATTGCCATGTCAAAATCAAATCAATTCAAAGTTAGGGCAAACAGTTGCTGATGCTCACAATAACCTCTCTGGCATCTGCATCAAGCCCGGTTCATACTTCACGCAAATGCGAAAGCGAAGCAAATTTGACGTCACAAAGCGTTCGCTGCGAAGTTCGCCCGAGTTGAAATGTGTTCAACTTTTACAAATTCGCAGCGCGAATACTTGCCACGACGTCACAAATTCGCGTTTGCTTTCGCTTTCGCGCCGAGTATGAACCGGGCTTCACAGGGAGTGAAAACCTGATTGAGCTGAAAGTGCACTGAACTGCTTCAAAATGGCAAGGTACTCTAGTTGAATTTAGTTTGATTTGTTAAGCTTGGTGTTTAGAGCAACTGTTGCCAAGCTACTGCCAAGCTCAAATCACTTGAGTTTGCCATTTCGGCACAGTAGTGGCGCGCGGTTTAGAGCAGGCCTTACTTCTATCTTGGCCCTGAAGTCCATCTCGGTCAGGTCACGTAGCAGCACCGGAGCGCCCAGCTCCTCAACCACAGTTACTCCTCGCTCATGAATGATGGGGCTGCTGTTCTCGCTGCGTACGCACAGACCCAGAAGCCGGACGATGTTGGGATGCTGGAGCTGCTTCAGCATCATAGCTTCCTTTAGGACCTGTATGATGAGAGTTTACACAAAATGACAGAAAGAAAAGAAATTGTTCAGCCCTTGAAAGTGTCACTAGAAGCCTTTTTGCTGCAAACTGTCCTATGCCCGCACAACCAATTATGGCGCGACTTGCACAACCAATTATGGCGTAACTTGTGCAATCATTTTAGGTAATCCTTTTGAACTTTGTGGCGTAGTGACTGGAAATTACCTATTTTTACCAGCAAATCATGATCGTCGTGGTGCCTGTTATTGCACAACCTATCAAGGTTGATACAAGACACTCACGGCTTTGTGTTTGAAGTGAAAAATTGCTATTTTACTTGTGACAGAGTTTTTAGAGTTGCCGCATGATTGCATAGAAAGTCTGACAAAATTATTTTCAAAACTGCAGGCGGAGGTGATTCAATGACTGTTTCACGAACGAGCAAAATCATACACAAACAGCCGTCACAAATGCTGTTACTTTCCTCGTCCAAGATGTTAAGATTACTTAAAACATTTCGCAGCGACACCAAGTTTCATGAAATTGATCTTCAGTCCTACACATGGCGTAAGCACTGTTTCGTGAAATCGGCTGCTGGTCTATTATAACCAAATACCTGATATGTCCCAAGGATAAAACAGTCTTCTTTCTTCTTGTACATTCCGCCCAGCACGCAATCCTTCACGTTCTTCACATCATAACTGGTGCTCTTCACAGCGTAGTGCTTATCGCCTAGTTTCCCTTCCTGCACCACCTTGCTGTAACCTCTGGCGATCTGCTGCGTGATCTGGATCCGGTCGATCGCTTGGCAGTCCAGGAACTTGCCCTCGGGAAGTGGACTGGGTGGGGCCACCCCCGGGGCGTGGCTTCGTTTGACGACAAGCTTCTTGTACTTGTGAAGCGTATCCATCAAATCCTTCTCCAGATCTTTCTCCTCCGCCAGCTGTTTCTGCAGCTCGACCACGGCCACCTCCAGCTGCTGCACCCTGTCGTTTGAGGTCTTACCCCCCATCCCGGCCGCCAAATCCTCCCCTGGAGCGGAGACCGTTATGGAACGCAGGACCAGGAAGAACGGTAGGAAGGCCAGAACTGCTAGGATCAGCCAGCGCAGGTTGGGGTTGATGTAAAATGTTCTCATGTTGGAATCGTGTGGTGTCTGGAGACTGATAGCACTATATTAATGCTGAAAAAAACTTGGGTTGATGACCGTTCTTCGAAGGATGCATGATTCTGTTGAAGAAATAATTTCAAGGAATAAATTATTTCATTTTGATAAAAAAACCTGACAGTGACAGATCGGCAATCCTGTGTCGAAAAAACACATAAGCATACATTAGCCTGGAGTGGACATTATTTCTCGACATATTATCGAAATTTACCCCAACCTCAACATTCAAGTAAATGTGTAAGCCCTGACAACAGTGCCTTTTTGTTTATTTTTGAATTTCCTATTATTTTTATTTCTGGTACTAATAATATGACCATTTATGTTCTGGACCTACATGTACATGTAGGCATAATTAAATAACGAAGAGTCACATCCAATTTGCCAAAGTGTATAAAAATGTAAATATACACTCTTGTGGGAAAGATTGTTGCAACCTGACGCTGCTTTTTTCTTCACACATCATCTCAATGAAGGTCAGTCATTGCAAAAATGATGAGACATGAATGTGGGACTGAGAAACATTTCCAATTTTGTTAGGAAATAAAATGTTCTAGACTTTCCATAGACTTTGTACATAACCGCTGAAGTAGCGTCAGGTTGCAACATTCTTTCTCTCTTGTGCATTAACAATAACAATAACAATCACTTTCTGCTGCTTTCTCTCCACTTCAATTCTGCAAGATTCACACATAATCATACCTAGCTTGGAAAACCCAGCTCTAACTTGGCTCGTGACTAGCTTGAAGTTGAAATATCCAGCTCACTAGGCTCAGGACATGGGAGATTCGTCAATAAAGTTGGATTTTCCCGGGGGGGGGGGGGGGGCACCAGCAACGCTGGGACATCACTCATAATGACTCATTCCCTTCGACAGCTGCGCGCACATATCGCGGGGGAGTAAACTCAATGAATACAAGTACACAACGCTGTACAATATTATCACTATTTTGCACACCCCTTTTTTACGAATGGAAGTGGCACACAAACCACCATATATACGCACTTAGCTCTACCCCCCCCCCCCCCCGCGTCCCCCATCCGCCCCCCCCCCCCCCCGCCCCACCCCCGGTTTCCAAGCTAAAATCATAACTGCAACAAATGTATTCATCATCATTCTTGCCAGGGCACTAAAATGCATGGTCCAGGAATTAGCTAAATACGGTTAAAATATTTCAAGATGAAGCAATCAGTTTACTTACAACTGTACATTTATCTAGCATGTCTAGCTTTAACTTAAGTCTAACCTTGACAAAACCTTGCAAACTGAAGTCTTGAAGTTTGCTACCTTGCCATCAAATAAAAAAACCTGCTGACAGCGCAGCGCGTAGTGTATAATTGATGAAACAACCTTGGCTTCAGGGTAGGATAAAGCTGCACAGTAAGCGATACACTAGATTTCTTTTGTGAGAACGAGGTGAACATTTCCGACGGGCACCCTCCCATTTCTTTCATGTATTGCAAAAATCGCATGGCAAGTCTGGGTACAAGACACATTTACTGGCCCATTCATTTTGAGATTTTGACGTTGACAATGAATGCTCCGCCAACTTTCGAGGCTTTTATTCTCTACGAAGGTGATAAGAAGTAAGTAACCCGCCCAGGTGAATCACCAAGATGTATACTTTCAAATTTTATGCTTCGATTGCACGTATTTTGGCTTCTATTTGAATCGGTTGTGTTGGAAAATTGGGTGCGCAAAAAGATCATGTATTGGCTCGGTAAGGCATCTATTTCCGACACATACGCGCCGATTTTCGATAAGTTTGATAGTGGCTATTTGGCCGGCGCCAGTTTTCTTTTAGCAAACAATATTAAGCCAGATCATACAGCGCCCTCTTTGACACGTATACGACTTTACGAGCAGACGAGTAGGCCTACATTATTAAATTACCACCATCGGCATCGTTCAAGACAAGGAGTATGCGTGGCCGAGTGGATAGCGCCTGACTCGTAAGTGAAATCCTGGGTTCGAGCCGCTGTCACATCCAACAAATTATTTTTTTCATCCCAATAAATAAGAATATTCTTCTTTTATTTTAAATTGACTCTAGTCCTACATTTAATTGCAGATTGGAAAAATACTGAAGATTTTTTTTTAAAGCCTAAGCTAAGGCTAAGGTTTGACTGATTCACTGCCCCCATAGGTTTGTGTATAAACGGCAGTGCTTGTTTGTCATCCATACCCATGATGGCAGCGTTCGAACTTCAAAAAGGTACAACCGAGGCCTTGTGCACATGTTGAAATTTGATGCTGTGCATGTTGTGCCCATTCTTGAAAATCACGCATTCTCGAGAATGGGCATGCACATTCTCGAGAATGGGCGCGCATTCTTAAGAATGAGCGCACATTCTTAAGAACGAGCACGCGTTCTTAAGAATGAGCGCTCATTCTTAAGATTGGGTGGGAATATCACGTGCACAATTTATGAATTTTGCCCAATCTTAACAAACATTGCACGACATAATTATGTTAAATGAATTGTATAGCGGTTAAAAGGGAAACAATTCATATAAAGAGGAAAGAAAATGTGCTATGCTTCTGTACTCGTATAACTACGATAATTTGAATCAAATTAAACCTGTTATTATTGCTTTTATCTGCCCACTATGGGAAGTTTTGTAATAACGGAGGACTGGGAACTAGTCTGGGAAGTGCTTTGTTTAGGCTAGACAAGTTACAAGTCCCTGCATGTATCATATGCGTGCCACGAAAAAAAAACGATGTCCAGAAGCTGCCAAAATTGCTCTTTTGACTAGATAGAATCCAGCTCTGCGACGTTATGGTGGGATGTGAACAATAAATTGGTGGCAATTTAAATGGGAAATAGCATTAGCACTATGGGATGTCGCAGTATTCATTCTCATTCTTCACATTCTTCATTCTTACGTCCCCCCCCCCCCCCCCCCGCTTTTATTATCCCAAAAATCTGAATTCTTTGCACTAGTATTATTATGTCTCTTATATTTTCCCGGTCCCCCCCCCCCCATATTAATACGCCTTTACTTGTCATATCCACTCTACTTTTCAGCGCCTTGCGTTGCAACAGTATAATTATTGAGAATCAGTGAAAGAGGATTCAGCTAGACTTGCCAAGCGCAGCCGGTGCTCGGCATCGACAAGACCGTTATCTTGTCGCGCATTCTCGAGAATGTGCGCTCAATCTGGAAGAGTTATTTTTTGCCAAGATTGAGCAAGGATCCAGTTGCACATTCTCAAGAATGTGCATGCCCATTCTCGAGAATGCGTGATTTTCAAGAATGGGCACAACATGCACATGGGGGTTTAATGTGTGTTAAGCGGTGCATGGTGCCTTAAATATCAAAATATAACCAAATATATCACTTTGAGCACTTTTCAAGGAATTTTAAGCTGTAGAAATGAGAGCAGATTCTGTGTGAGAAATAAAGGAAAGAGGATGCCACTCCCGGTTTTAAATGAGGGCAGGATTACGTCAGCCGATGAAAACATCCATTTATTTGCCTACTAGTTTTATCCGTTGGATGAGCTCACTCTAGACTCAAGAACCTTTGAGTTTTTAGTAAAAAACATAGGTCTGGGAACAAGACAAGGCAATGTAAGAAGCTCCTGGCTGTGCTGCGCCCACCTATAACATTTCTGCTAGTCACGGATATTTCATCAGGGTTGACAGTTTCTGGCATCGGTCGTGATTCCGCGCTGCGTTGCACTTTCAATGTGTGAGTTGCAGCTAAATCTCATCATTGTGATTGTTAACAACATAACTAGTTTCCAATTAAAATAAATTTGTAACAGATTTGAAAATTATTAGAAAAATGGAAATAAATCCTACATACTGCGAGAAAAAACAACTACCCTCATATTATTTGAGATATTAGGTCAACCTGAATTTTCTTCAAAGAAGTTTCGGCAGATTTTGCTTCAGTAAAGTAATATCAATGATCGTTTTGTTGACCTTGTGGGGAATGACATTGTTTGTTGCAGGATCACCATAGAGAAGGACACCAAGGTTCCCAATGCAGCGATATACCATGTGAATAAGGAGGACCACACTCTGGGAAACATGCTGCGCCAGTAAGTAAAGACCAAACGGGGCAAATAGTCATTGCAAACTCACACTGGTTTCCCAATAATGGCAGGGTCTTTTGTATGAAACTGCTCCAGCGGGCACAATGCTGATGAGTGTCTACCATTACAAGTCCTTTCACTCTTATGTGAGATCAAAACTAAAGTTAAATTTCCTTCCCCAAGTGCCCCCAAAAAGAAGACATGAATAAATTGTGACTTGAAGTTTGTATCTAGACCATGTTAACTGTGATAAAATACTTGGTGGTTGTTGACACAGAAAAACAGCCAACCAAGCAATCTTTCCCACTTTTTTTCCCAGTAGTGTGCAGTGTAATTTCTGCACTCACCATAATTTGAAGTGATAGACAGTATGTGACGTGGTATGTCAAAATCAGGCATATTTTGGGCAAGAAGTCCATTTTGAGTTATAGCAATATTGGTAAAATATAGACCTTGCTCTTTCAAATCGCTGCTTTGAATTTTGAAATTTGATATTCCAAAGCAAAGTTATTAAATTTTGAAATAGGGCTTTCCGAAATGAGAAAATAATGAAAAAAAAAATTTTGTCGATGAAATTTCAGTTTCACAGAACATTAGTAGCATCACAAGTTTCAAAAATCTCTAAATCGTGGAAAATCACCCCCATGTCATTTTGCAGCTGTTTCTCCATTCGGTGCTCTGCCCAATTCCGCCTGGTTTTGATTTACCACATCACATATATGTGCAGATTAAAGTTAGCATCAAGTGGCCACAAAATGCGAATCTTTAAACAGTGGCATGGCCGATTGAATGCCGTTTCATTAACTCTACAATTCTGCTGTTATACCCTTAACAATAATTATAAAGTTGATCGACCTCAACCCAAATCCAACCCACTCACTCCACAGGCAACTCTTGAAGGATCCCCAGGTGCTCTTTGCTGGCTACAAGGTGCCCCACCCGTTGGAGAACAAGTTTGTTCTGCGGGTACAGACCACGCCCGAGTACAGCCCCCAGGAAGCCTTCACGAATGCCATCACGGATCTGATCAGCGAGATTTCGTTACTGGAGGAGAGATTTAAGGTGAGAACAAATGATACGCTTATTGCTTTCATAATTGAAATGATGAAACCCTGGCTCTTTACCTAGCTCATAATTCAAAAAGAATCTTGCCTCGTTCAAACCCAGTAACAAAATGACTGGACTTGGTGTCTCTGTGGCAGAAAATGAGCAACCATTGAACTAGAGTCTATGAAGTTTGAAGCTGGAGACAAAGTCATGATTTCGTAAACCCGTGTTTATGTATTGAAATGTTTACCTACTGTCGTCAACATGTTGGGCAAATTGGGTGGAGCTGTGCAGTAATTCATACCAAGTCTTGAAGTCTGCTGAGCAGTACCAATTTTGCCATCTTCTAGCATTTACCATGGCCTTATTTCATGCAGCTGCTGAACAGAAACAAGTACTTAGCAATTCAAAAGGCTAACCAAAGTCATCTGAGATTGAGAACAGTTGGTAAAATGTACAGTTGTTTCAACTGATGTTTCGACTAGCCAAAATACCAGTTGAAACAGCTGTGCATTTTACCAACTGTTCTCAATCTCAAATGACTTTGGTTTAACCAGAAACAAGTACTTAGCAATTTAAATAGCCTTATAAATTTCTAAGTACTTGTTTCTGTTCAGCAGCTGCATGAAATAAGGCCACGGTGAATGCTAGAAGATGGCAAAATTGGTACTGCTCAGCAGACTTCAAGACTTATATTTTCAAAAAAGACAAATATAGAAAGTTCTGTGTGTATTTTTCAGTTCTCGAGTTGAGACATTTGAGATTAAAGTTAGGCAGCTGACAAATCAAGGATGGACCAAATAGTCCCCCTGCATAAGCGGGTGTTAGGAATTACTCTATGTTCCGTATTGTGTTAGCTTGTGGTAAAGTGCCTTGCTCAAGAACATAAGTAGGCTGACCACGACCTTTTTTGCTGAATCACATTCTGAATATCATACATCATCTTTGTTTTACAGGTTGCTGTTCGAGAAAAACAAGAAGATTGAGGAGAGGAAAGAACATGTAAAAAGCTTGGATTTTTTGTACATAACCAAGAGAGACTCTCTCATATTCATCCGAGTCGAGGGACAGAGCTGTTGGAGGTACATTACTAAGACTCATAGTATGTGCCAGCTTTTTTGATGGTGCACACACAAGTCTGCGGAGCTCAGGATGAGGCTTGTATCTAAAATGGACTGGTGCCCAGATGTGATACGGCCTTTCACTGTGGTATAGAGCATGTTCTTTTAGGGAACTAGACCAAGATGGCTGCCGTATGGATTGATACGTGATACTCTGAAATGGACTCTGAGCAAAAAGGACATGAAGAATTTTAGTTAGAATTTAATATCGTTGTGTCCGTGTAACAAGGTCATATCTCCTACTATGGCATGTGACGTCATGTAATGCAAGATTTCAATGTCAAAAGGTCGTATCTCGCGTAAAATAACCCGGATATACACACAAAGTCAATGGAGATTTGACCTTGTTGCATGGAGCGTATTCGCGCAAGATACGACTTTGTTGCAGAATTGAGTAGTAACCTTGTTGCACTGATGCGACGACATATACAGAGAACCACGCCTAATCCCGAATTTCTTACTCCAGAATCCTCCTTAAATGCTGCACTTCTACGAACAACAACTAGTGAAACGTCAAATTCCTTTCAAATCCCTGGATTCACAACACTGGTTTGTAATAATATTTTGTAAAATCCTTTATAAATTTGTTAACTATTCAGTGCTTCAAAATTCCGAGTTTGCCAAACCTTAAAAACATTTGACCTGTCACCATGAAATGTGCATAATGTCAGAAGTTGCTATTTTGCAGTACAGTGGGGCAAAGCCCAAATTTGAAGGGATGGTCGGGGTTTTTTTTCCATGTAAACCTTAATCTGTATTAATTCCGGTTTTACTTTTCTACAATTTTGTTCGTTCTGTCAAACATCCTTAAAATATATTTCATACCCTTTTTATTATGTCGTTCATTCACTGTAACACAACTGTAGGAATTTAAAGTGCCATTTTCTCGAGAATCAGTTTACAACTTTAAGTAAGTTGGTGGTCTATATTTCCGTTACTGAACTCAGTACCCCCTAATGTTGCATACCATTGGAAAGCTCTTGTTCTGCAGAATCCAGATATATAAGTATCTCAATTCTTTAAGCTCATTTTGTGGCGACAGGTCACATATGATTGATTTTAGAGGATTTTAATGGTTTGGATTTGTATTAGTGGGTTGCACGTAAGTGTGCTGTAAGTCAGGTTCAGACCAGAGCATAGGTACATTGACATAAGACCACATGGAATATTTCTGTTTAATAGATTTGATGAAGGCCTGATTTGCTTACCAAGGTGACCAGTTTTGAATTTGGACAATTTCATCATTACGTGCAGAAGAAGCAATTGGAACACCGCGGCCAGTTTGAGCAGTTAGCCACGTCTTATGAAACAGTAATTTTCCTGCTAGTGGAATACCTGAGCTGGAAAAAAAATAATGGAATAAGTTATTTTCAAAATACATTCCTGTATACATTTTTTTGTAATGTGATTAGGCCCAAAAAAAAAGTCTCCGGTTTCTGGTATGCGCGCGCGTCGCCGTAGCCATGCGCGTCGGCAAAATGAAAAAGTTTTTTTTTCAATAAAAGATGATGTCTCAAAACCGCCAAACTCACTGGTTTGAATGGAATCCTGCTGCAGCACAATTTTAACGTGTTTTTAGATGGGGGTATGATCGAGAATAAGCTTTATGTGGACTCTCTGGACTCCCGTACATTTTGCACTAAGTTTAGTCGGGCACCATTTGCAGTCATCAGCCGACATTTGAAGCAAAAAAGTCAAGCTCCATACCAGAAACCGGAGACTTTTTTTTTTGGCCTTATGAAATTAACCTGATTTCCAGTTTACAGGTAAGCACTGTTGGAATGCAGGCTGACGATTAACAAACAAACGAATACATAGATTAATCCTAACTCCCTACTTAGTGTTAATAAGTAAAAGACCATGTCCATCAAAATCCATCACTCACTCTGATTCGCATAATGCTTCAGGACCAAATCCGTTGAAATGTCCACCACTGGTGCTAATGGATTTTGATGGACTTGGCACACATGGCTTATCTGCCAAAATCCACCAAAATGAGGGGATGGATTTTGATGGAGTTGGTAAGGTTAGGGTTAAAACAATTTAAAATTAGATCAATTTTGTTTTTTTGGGTAAGACTGACAGCAATCAGATGTTTTTTTATGACCTGAGAAATGTCTTTGTTCATTGTTAAAAATGGAAATATTTGCTAATGTTCAGTGGTCAGATTCGTCAAGTTGACACCTAATAAAATTTCACCTTGTTTTGTAGTAAAATTAACTGGTGTTTGCATCAGTGTTTCATTAAAGGTTCTTGTTTGAAGATGGCAGCACTTCACTGTGTTAGTATGCAACAGCCTAAAGAGAGCTATTGTTGATGTACCCTAACGTGGCGCGGCCCCTAACGTGGCACACTTTGATTTTTCGCCTGTAGCGCCTAGCTAGAGCAAAAGTTTTAACTGAAATTTCACAGAAAGTGAAATTTCATCAAGTTCTTAACACTCCCGTTTATAAATCGCGAGTTTATTTACCCGTTACAAAGTTAAAAGAAAAAATAATTTTGGCGTGATTTTCCGATTTTATTTTCAAGTGCAAAGTGAACCCTTTAAAAATGCCCCGAAAAATAAAAAAAAATATTTTCTGACAAACATCTGCCTGGGTTTGTAAGTTAAGATAATAATGATTTATCAGAATTTATCAAGTTTACAGAAATTCCTAAATGTTAATTTGGAATTTTCCGAGATTTATTCAAGTGCGCCACGTTAGGGAACACTCCGCCAATTTGTGCCCAATTTCCGGACGCAACCGTTTTTGCATTTCGGATGAAATTTTATGAAACCGAAATTGTTCACAGAGGTTAAATAGCTAACATTAAAAAGGTAAAAGTACCAGTATTTCACTGCATGAATTTGAGGTTTATCAACAAAGAGATTTGGCAACACTACACAAGGAAAGTTGGGTAAGCTTCGAAGTGCGCCACGTTAGGGAACACGACTATATATACATGTATGTCATTTCAAGAATTTCCTATTTTGGACTTGAGGAAAAAGATAAGAGTTGATTGTGATTGGGAAAACAAACGGAGTTTAGTATGGGAGGGAATCATGACATTCTCAGTAGCATTATATGTTGGGCACAATTGGTTGAATCTGCTCTGTCACTCGATCATGTAAAATTTCACTTGTGCGATCAAAAGTAGCTGAAACCTAGTTCTCTTCATTCAAGATTATGTAGACACCTATGAGGAGAGGAAGGCTTTTGTTTGAATAAGACCTTGTTGCAAAAAGGCATCATGGTTTTCGAAGTTCAGATCGTTTTTATAATACTCTACATGCCTGATGAGCAGGGGTAGTAATGACTGACTCCCTTTAGCACAACTTGTGGGATACATGTACGTCAGAGTGGTAACTGAGTCAATTCCAAGTTGGACCACAAGTCTGGTCTCAAGTAACGGGGAATGAACATACTTTTGTTGTATGCCTTTTGTTTAATACAGAGCCCAATTTCATAGAGCTGCTTAAGCAGAAAATTTGCTTAAGCACGAAAAAACATTGCTTAGTAACATTAGGTTACCGGCCAAAACTCCATGTGATGTACATTGCTTGTGACTGGTATTTAGCTGTTGTTTACTTAGCATAACAATCGCATGGAGTTTTGGCCGGTAACCTGATTTTATTAAGCAAGACGTTTTTGTGCTTAAGCAAATTGTGTGCTTAAGCAGTTCTATGAAATTGACCCCAGATCATTTGGATAGCTTGTGACTTGAAACAAAAGTGAACGACTTGTGATTGACTTGGGATGTTTGTGCTTACTTGAGATTATTTTGATCGATTACAACTCTTGGATGCTTGGGAGTGTGGCCTAGTGGTCAGGGTTTGTGATTCATGATCAGAGGGTCCGGGGTTCGAATCCAGCCGCTGGCCATATGCTGTGTCCTTGGGCAAGCCACTTCACCCTCACTTGCCTCTCTCCACCCAGGAGTATAAATGGGTACCGGCATTAGCTGGGGAGTAACCTGCGTTGGACTAGCATCTCATGCAGGGGGAATAGAAATATTCTCAGTCGTTTCATGCTACTGAAACCGGAGTCAAACGCCGGCCTTATGGGCCATATCAGGGCAGACTTTACTTACAACTTTTGGATACACGATACACTATTGTTACTGTTTTTCAGCAATGGCAGGCAACAAACCACCGCGCATTCAACTCATCATTAACGCAGATGACTTTGGGCATTGTGATGGGAGGAATCACGGCATAGTGGAGTGCTACCGCGCTGGGCTGATCAGCAGTGCTACGCTGATGATCAATGCCAGGGAGGCAACGGCAGCTATCAGGCAAGCTGAGGAGTACTGCATCCCACTTGGTAGGAAACCTGAGCCATGTGTCAAAATGCAACTTTGTCTCTAGCTTAGGCTTTGTGTTTTGGCTTCCCATTTTAGTCTCAGATTCCTACCCAACATAGGACCGTTTTATGCTACAAGAAAAAAGTGTCTATGAGGCATTCTATAAACTTTGGGTCCACCTTTACCTGTCTCCTTCGCATCTGACATATATGATTTTATAATTCTGATGCACTCCTTAATGCAGCTGTTCTCTAAGAGTGATTATGAATAGCAAACTACTTACCCAACGAATGCAAAATTGTTTGAAGTCACTCTTAATGATTCTTGAATTGCAAATTACGAAGTACAAGTTGACAGGGAAAGGGTAATGCTTTTGAGCATCATGTGCAAAGTTGTTGTAAAATAGTGCGAAAAAAGTATTTAAAACCTTGATTTCTCATCAAGTTTCATCTCCAGAACTGAAATTCTGAGACTTGACTTAATTTGAGTCTCAAGCATACAAGACGCTCAAAGTTAAAAGTGGCATTAGACCTTTGTGAGTCACGAGGCCTTGTTTACAAGCTGTGAAATGTATTTTCTAATCCTGTAATATTGTAACATTCCGGAGTATTTTTGAAAAAAAATATGTACCTATGTAAAATATTCTCACCAGGTCTTCATCTGAACCTCACTGAAGGATATGTAACCAAGAGAGGGCGCTGTGGCAGTTTACTGGACAGCACCTCAGGAGTCCTCCGAGGGAAGTTTGGCTTTCGGGAGGCTCTTGCATCCGGAACTATAAAAGAGGAGGAGGTAGACAGGAATGGGAATAATTGCTGTATTTTCTTTTTAAAAACAAATTGCATACTGTTGTTGGTTTTCCTGAACATTGTGAAACACAAAAATGTGTCACTCAATAACCAATTACAATTTTGTCCTTTTCGTGGACAATTGTCATGTAGGCTTTTTTTTCTGTTGATAACTACGCTTATGTAGTTTTTCCCGTTTTAACCCATACATTTTCCAGCAATAGTACTTGTAGTAAAATTTAAAAATAACAAGTAATTGTTTTCTTTGCTGCTTGTAACAGCTCAGGGAAGAGATTGAGGCCCAGTTTCGTCGTTTTCAGGAATTGACGGGCCACCCACCAACCCATGTTGATGGGCATCAGCATGTACATGTCTTGCCAGGTATTACAATGTTATAATCATGCTGTAGCACCTTATTCAAATGTTTCAAGAGCTTCACAGCTATCATCCCTGTTCATCAGGCCATGAGATCAGTTTTTGCACATAAGTAGCAGTTTAAGATCAGCACAATCTGGTCTCGATCCTCCCAGGCACCCATGTACATGTATAGTCCTTGTTGGAGGGAGGCGATTGGAGTAAAGTGTCTTGCCCAAGGACATGGTAACCATTGGACCATGGAGCTGTATAAGTTATTTACACAATGGAGTGTCGTGGCCTATTGGTCTGGAGCATTGAATTCGTGGTCTGCGGGTAATTCTGCAGGTTGCGGGTTCGAGTCCAGCCTGGGTTTATGGTGTGTGTGCCCTTGAGCAAGGCGCTTTGTCACTCACTGCTTCTCTCCACCCAGGAGTAGATGGGTACCTGTGAGGGCAGTGTTGGTGACTGTGAGAGATTAATTATGGCCAAGAGCACCGAAATGGCTGCCTACCGGCCGTGTATGCTCCCCAGGGAGTTGAGAAGGTTTCATAAGTGCTTGCCTGCTGAAACAGGGGTAATAATAGGCGTAAAAGCGCTATGCCTGTTATTATTATTATTATTAATACATCAATGTGTTTCAATCTGATTCATACAAACGACCCTGGCTCATTGCCAAAAAGAAATAAAGTAAATTTTAAACCATATTGACTAACTCAGTGACTCGGTGTCTTTTTCATCACAAGGTGTTCGTGAGATACTGGCAGACATTGCCAAGCAGTTTGGGGTCCATGCAGTCAGGATACCCATTCAGCATGGCTTGGAGGAGTGTCACTGGCTGACCCCGGCAAGTCAAACATTCTTCCGTGATGTCATCAAAGAGTCTACAGAGGCCAGGGATTTGTTCACCAAGAATGGCTTGAGGTATAGTCAGTTTGTTTCTAGATTTGCTCAGTCGTCATCTCATTAAATATACAGGAAACTGTTATTGTTCGTCCCCTGTTCCTTTGGTATAGTTATGATTTGACTAGAGATTTGAATTGTGATTAATTTGTGATTGGCTTGTGTTTGACTTGTGATTGGCTTGTGATTGACTTGTGTTTGACTTGTGATTGGCTTGTGATTGATTTGTGATTAACTTGTGATTGACTTGTGATTGACTTGTGATTGACTTGTGATCGACTTGTGATTGACTTGTGATTGACTTGTGATTGACTTGTGATTGACTTGTGTTTGACTTGTGATTGACTTGTGATTGACTTGTGATTGACTTGTGATTGACTTGTGTTTGACTTGTGTTTGACTTGTGTTTGGCTTGTGTTTGGCTTGTGATTGACTTGTGATTGGCTTGTGATTGACTTGTGATTGACTTGTGATTGACTTGTGATTGACTTGTGATTGACTTGTGATTGACTTGTGATTGACTTGTGATTGACTTGTGATTGACTTGTGATTGACTTGTGAATTGACTTGTGTTTGACTGGTGTTTGATTTGTGATTGACTTGTGATTGACTTGTGTTTGACTTGTGATTTGACTTATGATTAACTTGTGATTGACTATTGATTTGATTTGTACATTGATTTGTGATTTGACTTGTGATTTGACTTGTGATTGAGTTGTGGCCTAGCTTGTGATTTGACTTGTGACTGTGTTGTGTTTGACTTGTTTTGACAAGTTGAAGTGATGGCCTTAATTGACTTCAACTCCACTCTTTTTCATTCCATTGAAGAACCACCGATGGATTCTTCGGTCTTACCACCATGGGTTCCAACATGACCCTGCCTACCTTAAAATCAGCTCTGGAGACAGCCCTCCACAGCGCCACCAAGAGTCCACACTCTGACCCAGCCTCACCTCTGACCCTTGAACTCATGGTGCACCCGGGCTACCCCTGTCAGCCAGGCTGCGGGGTGGATGGAGAGGACTTCTACTGCTTGGAGGACCGGGCACACGAAATGCGGGTCCTCGGAGAGCCGGGATGGAAGGAGGTGATGACACAGGCAGGGGTGAAACTCTGCTCCTTTGAAAGCATCAAGTAGGGACTGATGCAAAGTCTAGAATGAAATAAAAAGAGAAAGTAAGGTGGCATCCAAATTACATGTACATGGCTATGGCTTGTGATTACACACACGCTTATGTAAGCCGCTGAAGCAATGATCTCTATGAAAAATATCTCGATAGCTCATTGGCCATTCCTAGCTGTACAAAAATGTGAAGCTACACACTGGTTCCCGATCCCTCCATTCAAATGTGGGGAGGGAACCAGTCTCAAACCACTCCCATTGCTCAAATAATTGAAATATAGTCGTCTAAAAGTATTTAAAAAAAAAAAAAAAAAAACTCGAAATTGAAATTGTGTAGAATATGTAAAATATATTTCGTCGCCATTTTACATGTTATTCGTTTGAGTAACAAGCGCACATGCCAATTAAATTAGACATCTTTCTTTACAAGTCTATTGTTCTTGGGATAGTAATATGGCGGACGGTATGGAGATTAGTGCGCTAAACTTCTGAAGCCACATCCCACCGACGTGTGGGCATAAATATCCAAGATGCTATAAACGACCATCCATGAAAATCTGCAATTTTTGATACAAAAAGGCAGGTAGCCAAAAGCCAGCAGCCATTTTGAAAAACAATCCAAGTGGAACTTTTTAAGGGCCTCCTCTCTTTAATTAAAGCATTTTTTTCGGAGGAAAAAAATTCACATATATTTATCTCCAAACTACTCACCCAACTAAAATGGAATAATGTTCAAAAAGTAAAAGGGCCTGATGTTTGGACTCCAAACTTTTCTCAGTTCTTGGTTGAGAGCTGTTAGGTATTTTGTTCAACCGACAATTTTTATAAAAGTAAAATTACAAGTATGTTATTTTAATTATCTTGCAAAGATAATTGCTATTGCTTATTCTGATGAATAAGTAAATTTGAAAAATGTTAAATATTTTTAAATAAAACTGTAATTATAAATGTTATCTCTTGATGAATGGTGCAAAGAAGGGAATTCAAAATAACATTCTTTACTAAGTTTTTAACTGCTTAAAGGGAAGATACAACATTTGCAAACACCAAAAAACGAAATGATCAAATTATCACGAAATACCTTCTTGGATTGTTAGGGAATGACAGTCTAAAGCATCCTGTAAAATCGTGGCTCCTGGTTTGCTGACATTTTCAAGAAAAACTGTATTTTTCCAACGCTGGTCGGCCGACCAGCATTGGAGAAAACTGGCTTTTTTTTCTTCAAAAACTGCTCTTAATTTTTCATATTTGGTTATTCTGCTTTTTCTTTGCAATTGATTACACACCAGTGAAGGGATACAAGCCTGCTAGATTGATTCTTTGACCTTACAATTCCCCAAAATGGGGTCAGGGAAACATACTACAAGAACATGATTGGTCTTGGTTTTTCCAGCATCTACAAGCCCAAAACGTGAAACATGTCAGTTTAGCCATATTTGCTAAAACATACTAATCTCCAAATCCATTTATTTCTGAAAATTGCAGCAAAAACAAATGTTGTACATTCCCTTTAATGCTTTGAAAAAAGAGCGAGAGATTACAAAACTGTTTATAGGAATAAATAACTTTTACTTGGAAAATTACTCTCGATTTCGCAAGCATACCACACCTTAGGGACTAGATTGGATAATGTTATATAATTCAAAGGTTAACAGTAATACTTGTTAATACAAATAAGAAACAATTGATTTGTTTGGTGCATTTCGTGCATTTCTGAAACAGTTACTTTATATACTAACTCAGAACAGTTTTTCTGAAAACCACTTATTTTTTGGGTGCTCGGTATTCACGATCATTCCTTTTTTTTACATTTGAAAATATTGACAAATTTTTAAGGGTTAACAGTAATATTTTTTATACAAATGAGAAAACAATTGATATTTAGTGCATAACATTTTTTATTTATATACATCACATATACTACAGATTGCGAAATCAGTAATGTACTAAGTGTTTGTATGTATACTTGATATCCACAACTCACATTAAAAATGAAATTGTTTAAGTATCTTTCATTCAGCAACTGTTGAGTCGATGATGATATATGAGCAAATTAAAAATTATTCAGAGGAAATCAGCAAGTCGTGTTAGCGATCCGTCTCTCAAATGCCAACAACTCATTTTTAAGATCAAAAAAATGTTTTCAAATACCTCTCGTATTTTGCAGCTGTTGAATTATGCTAATTTAAGAGCAAAATTAAAATGATTCAAAGGAAATCAGCAATTTCTGTTGACGATCCGTCTTTAAAAATCAACCGTGGGAAGTAGCTGGAGCCGAGCTGGCTAGACGGCAAGAAACGCAGATCAAAAAGACCGAATCGCGTCAATCACTTTTGAGGGTGTTACCGCCGTGTTGGAGACACCTGCAGTCTGTTTGGAAAGTTCCGAGGAACCCAGGAACTAGCGGGGCAAACGGCAGTTGTTTGTAGGGGCCGGCAGCGCGAAATGCCGGCGGTGGTGGTCGGGTTTTTGAAAGGTCGGGGACTGCGCTCCGCGTGGCAGGGGAAGTGTATTTTCCCAAGGTCATTGGTGGATTGTTTGGTGAGATAACAGTGGCCTGTAGGGGCAAGGTTGTATGGTTTGCGGAAATGCGACCTTTCGTTGAGGGGATTGGCAAGATAAGGGGATGGGGGCAAGGTGGTGAGGCAAAAGGTAGGAATGAAAGGGGTTAGAGAGGGGATATCGGGTAGGCCGAGGCGGGGGGGGGGGGGGGGGGGGGTAAGGTCGTGAGAATGTAAAGAGAGGGAAGGTCGTGAGAATGTAAAGAGAGGGAAGGGGCAAGGCAATGACAGACAAAGGCAGGGATGGGATATGGCCGGAATTTGGGAAAAGGCAGGGATGGGATGAGGCAGGGAAGGCATGAGGCAGGGATGGGATGAGGCAGGGATGGGATGAGGCAGGGACGGGATGAGGCAGGGATGGGATGAGGCAGGGACGGGATGAGGCAGGGATGGGATGAGGCAGGGAAGGGATGAGGCAGGGATGGGATGAGGCAGGGACGGGATGAGGCAGGGATGGGATGAGGCAGGGATGGGATAAGGCAGGGAAGGGATGAGGCAGGGATGGGATGAGGCAGGGATGGGATAAGGCAGGGATGGGATAAGGCAGGGATGGGATGAGGCAGGGATGGGATAAGGCAGGGATGGGATGAGGCAGGGAAGGGATGAGGCAGGGATGGGATGAGGCAGGGATGGGATAAGGCAGGGAAGGGATGAGGCAGGGATGGGATGAGGCAGGGATGGGATGAGGCAGGGATGGGATGAGGCAGGGATGGGATGAGGCAGGGAAGGGATGAGGCAGGGATGGGATGAGGCAGGGATGGGATGAGGCAGGGATGGGATGAGGCAGGGATGGGATGAGGCAGGGACGGGATGAGGCAGGGAAGGGATGAGGCAGGGACGGGATGAGGCAGGGATGGGATGAGGCAGGGAAGGGATGAGGCAGGGATGGGATACAGCAGGGCGGGATAAGGCAGGGACGGGATGAGGCAGGGATGGGATGAGGCAGGGATGGGATGAGGCAGGGATGGGATAAGGCAGGGATGGGATGAGGCAGGGATGGGATTAGGCAGGGATGGGATACAGCAGGGCGGGATAAGGCAGGGACGGGATGAGGCAGGGATGGGATGAGGCAGGGATGGGATGAGGCAGGGATGGGATAAGGCAGGGATGGGATGAGGCAGGGATGGGATGAGGCAGGGATGGGATACAGCAGGGCGGGATAAGGCAGGGACGGGATGAGGCAGGGATGGGATGAGGCAGGGATGGGATAAGGCAGGGACGGGATGAGGCAGGGATGGGATGAGGCAGGGATGGGATGAGGCAGGGATGGGATAAGGCAGGGATGGGATAAGGCAGGGAAGGGATGAGGCAGGGATGGGATGAAGCACGGATGGGATAAGGAAGTGATAGAATAAGGCAGGGATGGGATAAGGAAGTGATGGGATGAGGCAGGGACTGGGATGAGGCAGAGATGGGATGAGGCAGGGATGGGATGAGGAAGGGATGAGATAAGCCAGAGATGGGATAAGGCGGGGACTGGGATGAGGCAGGGATGGGATAAGGCAGGGAGGGTATGAGGCATGATGAGGATAATAAGATCCAAAGTAGAAATAAGGCAGAAACGGGTGACGGTATATGCCTACTTTCGCCCTTTTCTGCCTAATTATGATATAAGCGTCAATTCTCTCTTTAAAAATGCTGCTGTACATTCCTTTTCTGGTATAGTTTAGTTTTAAGACACATGGGATAAGGTAGGGATGGGATAAGGCAGGGATGGGATAAGGCAGGGATGTGATAAGGCAGGGATGGGCTGAGGCAGGGATGGGATAAGGCAGGGATGGGATAAGGCAGGGATGGGATAAGGTAGGGATGGGATAAGGCAGGGATGGGATGAGGCAGGGATGGGATGAGGCAGGGATGGGATGAGGCAGGGATGGGATAAGGCAGGGATGGGATAAGGCAGGGAGGGGATGAGGCAGGGATGGGGTGAGGCAGGGATGTGATAAGGCAGGGATGGGATGAGGCAGGGATGGGATAAGGCAGGGATGGGATAAGGAAGGGATGGGATGAGGCAGGGATGGGATGAGGCAGGGATGATAAGATCCAAAGTAGAAATAAGGCAGAAACGGGTGACGGAATATGCCTACTTTCGCCCTTTTCTGCTGTAATTTATATGCGACAATGCTCTCTTTAAAAATGCTGCTGTCATTCCCTTTCTGGTATAGTTTAGTTTTGAGACACAGATGAAACCTTCCCCACTTTCCAGTGATATAAGGAGGGTATTAAAAAAAGGAGCAAAACAAAATCATCATCCAAAAAACACTGCACCAGCCCTGAATGGCACACGGTTCGCCCCACCTTGAAAACTGTGAACACGCGCCTCCTATTTGGCGAACCAAAGACTTTGACATCCAAGCAAAAACGTGTCAGTTTAGGTCTGTCAAACTAATCGACGCGCTTTTCTTGGGGAAAAAAATCCCTGTTCGATTGACTTTCCCGCAGGACTAAAAAGAGCACCGGAAGCTACTAAAGCGAGCACGTGTGTCACCGATCAATGGCTTGACCACACCGCACAGGAAAATTTGGCCAAGCGGGTGTCAAGCCAGCTGGTTGGCTGTTGTTGATGGGGGACATCCTCATTTTCGTCGGTACAAATCTGAAGGTCTAGGCCACACCGGAACACAAGGGTCTACCGTCAGTATGGCTGTACAGACGGCAGAGGCCTCTGCACGCGCTCGCTTGATAAATGCCGTACCGTCGTACTTTTTTGGTACCGTAGCGCGGAGAGGGGAAATCGTTTAACACCAATCGGGGACCCCTGACCGAGGTCGGCTGCACTGTGACTGGTGATAAGTCAAATCTTGTTGCTTCCACCGATGACCATTCTGACAGATTTCAGGGTTACCGGGACCATCAATTCTGTTGTTGCGCAAACGAAGAGTTGAACCTACTTTCGTAAAGGCAAATATAAAAGCAGTCTGATTGATCCGATGAAAGTTTCGTAGTCCAGCATGGTATGGCAATTCCAAATATTTAAAAAAAAAATCTCAGTTGGGTTCATGTCTAATCATTTTTTTTTTAAATTGCTTCAGCTAAAGTCACGGTTATCTGACGTCCCCATACTTTTTATCTATATCTGTTTACGATAGTAGGCTTATACAATTATTGTATGGAAAAGCCTAAACTTGAAAACTTGAAAATTGATGGGGTTTGACGCCATGGCGTATACATCATAAACATAAAGAACCTAGGTTCTTTATGTCTATGGTATACATACATGTATTTCCGTCGTGAACAGCGCCACCTAGTGTCAGATGACCCCTTGCCAATAAATTTCAAACTTCCGGAATTAAAATGTCAAGACTTTCCCATCATCTCGCAGTCGCCGATAACAAAATCTACGCCCTTTTATGGAACCAGGTCGTGACGGACGAATTCTCGTTCCACGCAGATCCTGCCCATTGGTGACACGTGACGATAATTCCAACACTCGTGCAGCGGGGAGTGGGGCAGGTGGTTATTAAAGCGGACGGCACCCCGAAAGTTATACCGACCATAGTTGCGTTGAATCCCACCTTCAAAGTACAATCAAAACATTACTGTCAACAAGACCATTACGCATCGCCCTGCCATACGTGTACTGCACCTGGGATGAACACGACTTACAAAAAGTCATAATTTGAGATTTTTTCTTCTCTTGTAGTTCAGAGACAGGAAACCATATTGCGACCCAAGCTCGGTGCTCCTTCCGGTGGGAATCCCCCCCCCCCCGCGGCTCTCCCCACCCGTATTTTGGGGTTGAGAGAGAACCTCCGGGCAGGACGCAGCATCGACCGAAGGACACTGTGTGAAGCTGCGGGGAAAATGCAACCATAGTACGGGGACGGTTGGCGGCGTCGCGCACGCCATGCGCCACGAGCAAAAGAGAATTAACACGGCGGTTAGAGAAGTGGACGGCTGTTCGGAGAACAGAATTGTTTCAGAATAATCACCAACTCTTTTTTTTATATCAATACAGAAAACTGAAGACATCAAAAGTACTCTGATGACCCCAAACGAAGATAATTATTTTAACTTCTTTACAGATAAAAAAAGGGGAATGTCCCAAATGACAATGACGAGGAAAAGGGGTTATCGGGGCTTAGGATGACCGTCTATTCAGTGAGTACAATTAACTTGCTGTCATTAGTGCCAAGGTGAAGGAAAGTGATAAGGATAACAATACAAGTGATAACCCAAAGGAGGCCTACATTATTAACAATAAAGGATGGCAAATGACGATCCCTTCAAACAGACGGTCGAAGGAAGCAGGACATAAAACAGTCGTTGAACGCGAAGGGGTTCGTCTTGCGCCAGGTGCGACGCATACTTCGTCACACTGACAATTCCTGCGGCCGGGTATACGCCGTAAGACCCTCGGCAGACTGGCCGAGCGACGGAATCAGGCAAAAACGCCCGCGGGGGAATCGATGCTTGGACCAGAAGAAATCATTACAACATGCACCTGCGCCCAAGTACGGGTGCAAACTACCGCTATACCAATGCCTGACTGCACCGCAACACTCCGCCCGCGGACCCACTTCAAGACATCGGGCCCAGGCCTGATTCTGCCAATTGTCACGGCACGACTGATACGCCAAGATGTGTTAACACCCCCAAGACGTATGAGATGTCATGTTAACTACAGTTTAAGAAGAGAGAATGATGAATGTCTCGCGACGTCTAGCCTTGAATTTTGAGGTGTCTCACTCAGCGAAAGTGTTAAATGTAGCGCGTGTTGTCCGCTTTTTACAATGGAGCCATGCTTCATAGGCTTATTATGAGAGGGTAATTAGTAATACTATGGTCTCCTCTCCTTCTGTCCCCATAAACAGGACTTCACATTCAAAATGTATATCATCAAAAATTAACCGAATAAGGAACCTGATCACAATATAATTAATGATGGATTGAACAAACTAATGGGATTTGATCCTACCTTGTTGCCCTTACTGAACGGAACGAAATGCCATTCAAAATAACCAAACTCTAAGAAAACCTCTCACAATGATTCGTAAAAGTCAGGAGCCACTTCGATTGAGGAGAACCTTATTATGTTCCTAATCTCAATAATTATTGTATCGTGTTTTTTTTTACATCCTGTACGTATTTCAAATCCAAGAACGACCGCCCACAGACACAAAGTTTACCGACATGAGATGGCGGGGGTTGTGAACATGGTGACCTATGACCTGAGTCACCTGACCCTGGTGTAACCCAACCGTATACCACCCTCGGACTAGAGCTTGACATGAAACACGCTGTGCATGCTATATACCATGTGACATTCGTTCGCAAAATTGGATGTTGTGGTCATGCCGTGATTCAACTTTCAGCAAACAGTTCTCTTCTGCACTGTCTTTCTCTTGAAACTATGATTTAAAGTGTTGACATAAATATGGGCCAAATAACATGCAAAAGATGCTTAAATGTTTGGGTTGCCCGGCGTTTGCCTGTTGGCAAGACGTCCAGCACATGGTCTATACAAGCCATGCTTCGGAAGAGAAAAGAGAAACCAGTCAAAGTTTCAGAGACGCCATACCATAGTCGTATGGGGATTGTCATGCCACAAAATACTCCAAACTCCATGATATTTTAAAGAAACTTAATATATTTAAGGCTTTTAAGGCGGCGATGAATGCACTGGAACATTTCTTTTTGTAAATGAATATTGTTTGGATAGGAAGGAAAAAATAAGCTATATGATGAGTTTTTAATTTGAAATATATATTGCACTAAATGCAGTCCAATTATATTGTAACAAATGCGGACTTTTCCTTTTCCTTCAAACAATACTGAAGATATCTGAGACGGGACATACCCCCTCATGTCCCTGCCTAATTATACTTTTTCTGTCCCCAAGTCCTACTTTTCAATAAATTCAATTTCACCAGTCCCACGATTCATGGCGCTGGAGGATTTGTTTTCCAAAGGGACGTAGAAACCGAAACCCTGTATATTTGGTTGCAGAAAAGTAAATGCGGCCGGAGACCCGTTCACTAACCCCGCTGGCTTCCGATCGTCTGAAACAAAAGAGCGGCAGAAACTGTCCCTTCTCTGCCCACGTTCGCCGCGCCCAAGGGTTCATCGTCTGAGGCAAGGCGGGGATGTATAACCTCCTCGACCTTCGCGACCCTTGTGTCTTCCCTCGGAACACCGAGAATTTCTCCGAGGATGATGAGACCATGAGACTGACTGGTGGGAAAACAATGGAGAAGAGATACAAGTCATTGGGGGAAAAAACCTCGTCGCGTGGCTACCGTGCACGAGCTGACAGTGCCCCCCGCTGGGAGGCCTATTGTCACGGGGACGGGTCTGGCTGATTCACGCTGTCATTAAACATCCTCGTGCTATCTCCCACGGTCCTTCCCCCGGCCTGAAATTGCAGGGGTCACGCGCTCTCGGGCAGTCCGCAGGGCAGGGGGGAAGTTATTAAGCCGCCAGGTTGGAAGCGCTTGAGAACCAAGGTCTGCCGGGCACAACAGCCTCTCGAGAAAATGTCCAAAATGTCTCGACGTCCACTGGTCATATTTCTGACCGGTG